ATTATGAAAACAATAATGATGACTTTTGCGATATACATTTGCTTGCTTGCAGACTTTTGTGAGGTATAATTTCAGGAATCACCTTCAATTTGGCAATCTAATTAGTTTTAAACTGGTGAGATCTTGTAACTTTTTTTCATGACTACCTAAGTCGGGGAAAATAAATTCTTCCTGCCGTTTCGCAGGCACGAGTGGCCGTACTCGAGGTTTTTTCTGAGCATTTGAATCAAAATTAAATCACGCACAATTTTTAGTCAATCATCATAAAAATTTGTAATAATTAAAAAATGATTTTTATTAAATTTAAACTTTATCAGTAAGTAGAGTTTTATCTCATAATGTAGAGGAAGAAATGTTTTCAAATGATTTAAATCAATAAAAAAACTTTCTTTTAAATTTATATAATGAAGTTTGGTATTTCAAAGCAATGCCCAAAATTGGAACGCGCTGTATAAATTGCCTTATTTGCAGGAGACAAATTGTTTGAAAAACTAAAATTTTGAAAAGAAGATAACATATATTCAGATTGTGATACAAAAATGGTTCAAAACTTCTTATCTGAAAGTTTAGAATTTACAAAAAAATGGATACGGCTAGTCTAAATCACTTTGTAGATTGTTAAATTCAATTCTTTAACAACCGGAAAACAACTAACTAATAATTGTACAGCCAATAAAATCATTCACCTGCAGTAAAAGGCACAGTTCGCTATATACCTCCTTCTTAAGCACACAGGGCTTCAAAGAAAATGCGAAAAAAGAGAGCAACAAATTCATTTTTCAGTAATAAATTAATGAAAAATGAATTTGTTTATGAATATGTGAATAAACTATATTTTTTACGGCAGTAACAAGAGTCAAATGACAAATGAAAGTATTCCAGACTTATAAGTGATAACTGAAGAATGAACCAAAAAAGAACGTACAAAATAAAATGATACGCATATCCGTGTTACAAATAGGCATAGGTAGTTTAAAATTGTTGAACTCAATAAATTTACGAGACCATTTCAAGTTTCTTATATAGTATTCAATCGTGTGTTGACTGTTTCTCTATTCACCAAACTCGCTGGTTTCTTTTAGAGTTTTTAAAGTTTTCCTCCTTATCTGAGACTCGGTCAACGGATTAAAATCGGGTAGTGACGTAGTATTACCTGAAAACCTGTTTCAACAGTCAATCTAAAATCGGTTGATTAACTAGTTTGGCAAGTATTTTCATTAAAGCAAGCAAAATAAGAATATTAATTATGACATGAAATTCATGTACACAGTGGTAAACTTTTGCTAGTGGTAATTATAACAAAATCCGCTAGAAAGAATGGCTAATGTAATATGTAAAACGATTTCCTGTTCTTTAAAAATGTTATTAATAAACAAAAATATTAAATGCGAAATAAGCCACAACCAAGATTTCTTTAAACTGCTGGCGATTTAAGCAACTCATATCTGTATTGCTAATAAATTCAGGAATACATACATTTATTATATTTGATTTGTTCACCTAAATGAAAGTTCACCTTTAAGCGTCAAAAACATATCTCAACATTCGTTAAGAAAAATAAATGGTAATGTATTAAAAGTATAAAAAAATAAAGTTGATTAAGCTTGAAGAGTTTTTTTATGTTTTTAGACAAGAAAAAGAATTCGAAAGTCTTACAAGTCCTGAGGCTTACATAAACCGAAGCAAAATTGATGAAATGGGAAACTCCATTAAAAACGAAATATTCTTGGAAAAGTTATAAAGAACAGTTTCTGATTGACAATATACTTTCGCAATGTTAATGTTTTTTTTTATTAGTTTGTTATAGCAATCTAGTTTACACCAATAAGCTACTTTTCTTTAACCTAAACTACTAGATGTACATTTGCAAAGTGTTATCCTATGATATTAACTTCGGCTTTGTCATTGGAGAGTCACTATTTTAATGTGTACATATATAAGCATATTTCTTCTACTTTGTTAAGAATCAACGATTAATTCCTGCACTAGTTCATAGGGTTTCACTCGATTTAATCTTCTTGTTAAGCCATCGTTGTTCAAGAGCTGGATGGCCTCAACGTTGATGTGATTTTGTAGTCTTTGTTCATGACGTTTTGCACAATTTTTTATTACATTGTCCACTGTTTGCACATTTAGATCTTTATGGAGGTTGTCATTCCGGATGTACCATGGCGCACCTACGATGCCGCGTAGAACTTTATTTTGATAACGTTGTATAATATTTCTG